TTTTTTGTGTGGGGGGGGGGGGGGGGGGGGGGGGGGGGGGGGCGGAAATCCGACAAAGGAATTGATAAACAGTTCTTAACAAACAGTCGTCTTGCACACGCACGTATAATTAGCAAAAAGAAGACCTCTGTTCACGAGAATAGTTTTGTAAATCCTTTTTTGGATTTCCCAATCGAACTGTAAAAAGGAGATCCATGAAATCCGGATTTGGATTTCTTAATTGAAATCTTCCATGAGAACGGATTTCTCGGAGATGAAATCCGTTTTCAGCGGTTTTCGGATTTCGCGTTCCATTTCAAAATCCGAAATCCAGATTTCCCAATCGAACGCAACCTATTGGTTAGCACTCATCTTCATACTCCAAACTGACATTTCCCCCTCCTCGCCGTTCTCGGATCTTAAGGTTCTTTCGAGGATCAGTTTACAAAATAGCAGAAATATGTTGAGAGGATGATAAAGGATGCTAATTACATATATGTTGCAATAAGTTTTTTTTCCATATATGTCCAGCTAGTGATATTTTGAAAACAAACCTAACGAAATTTGTCGTCATTTGGAGTGAAAAGGCGTCAATAGGCATGTTTCTTTGGATAAGGTCCAAACTCACACTAACGAAGGAAAAGGAAATGAGAAAACGAAAAAGAAATGGTTGCACTAGTAGTTTTTATAATGGCTACTTTGGAGATAGTTCTTGGCCGAAAAAAATTGTTGGGCACAAAAAGTCCATTTTCCAAGTTTGGCAAAACAGGTTCTTATATTTGGGGGTAGTTATTGGTAAGTTAGGCTAAAGTAGGTTCTTAATTAGGTTCTTAAGTTTTCAGTAGAAACCATTCCTGTACAAGCAGAAAAAATAGGTTTGATCCTTTATGATACAGCATTTATTTATAACTGTCTTGTCATGGGCCTTGTGCAAGGCTAACTAAACAATTTTAATATATACACACTCAGTGCTCTTGGTGGCTTAAGCAATCTGATTGGTTCGCTATCTCGGACTATTCAACAATATTTACCTCCTAGCGAGTGGATAATGTGTGAGCTCGGTTTTTTTCCCATTTTATCACAGAAAGATCTTTTAAAAGTCGACAAAATCCTAGGGTTGACACTTTTCAGGCAAGAAAAGTCTTCGAAGAATTCAAAACGGCGTTTTCCCATTTACTGTTGTTGGGTTTTGTGGTCGATGGATTCTTTACAACTCCCGTTTATTCGCCTAGAAGAGGGCGTTCCGTGAACTCAGCGTTTCCTAACGAGAAAAATTTGGCCCAAAAACGAAGTTTATTTATGACAAACAAATTTGAAAGTAAATGTTTGCAGAAATTCTACGTTTCAAGTAAACACGAGAAAGAATGCACATGAAGACGAGGTCTTACCTCGAGGAACCGAATCGCCATTTTTGTCACCACTTCATGCGAAGAACGACACAACAAACCTTTTCGGCTATAAACTTGGCGAGTCAACAGAAAACAACAAAGCTTTTCTTTTCTTCTCAGGTAAGGAAACAATTCAAGCTTTGAGCGGTTCCATTTAAGTCATTACGCTGTTGTTTGCGAAGTGATAAGCTTGTGAATTGCCATGTTTGAAAATTATACAAAGATCTATTTTTAAACTGTCGCGTGTCTAGCTGACCTGATCTGTCAATCAAATCGTACTTTTTAATGGTTTCCTCTCTGATTTTGTTGAGATAGTGGCTTTAGGAATATTTACCTCGCCACTTCGTGGCCCCGTAAATATTTAGCCACTATTCTCCTCGATTTCAAAGAATAATTGTTAAATATACACTATAAACAAAGTATCTTATACTTCTTAGTTAAAAATGCTTATGAAAATATCCCATAACTCACATATAAGAACCTAATAAATTTTGCTTGGCTAAACAGGTTCTTATATTTTGGGGTATAAAAATGGGAAATTTCTGCCAGCAGGTTCTTAAATCGCTAGGTTCTTACACGCGAGTTTTTACTGTAACGTTTTCAAACGGCTCAAGCTGCTTTTCTGCAATCCCTATCTTGCACCTTAGTGGGTCGTCTAGAGCATATTCAGTAACGTGTTCTGAAGATTAGATACAAATTTAATGGAGCAAAAATAAGTTTTAACAAAATAAAAGGATTTAACTCCCATAGGATTGGTTTAAGACACCAACATGGCCGCCGTTTTATTGTTTTGGGACACCAATATGGCGGACTCGACGTCATGAAAAACACTCAAAAAAAGAAAAAATTACTGTCGACGCAATAATAAAGTCGAAACTCTCCACAATGGCCGCCTTGGGGGCAGAAGAAAGTGGCCGTGGTGGAGAGGTGGCCGTTATGGGGAGGTAGGGGTTTTATATGACAATTTTTTATGGAGTACAACATGTTTTTTTGTGTGTTTACTGTGTCCCATAATCATGGTAATCCAATCATATATAATATACACAAAAAGTTTGAATTATGTCTTGAATCAAAGATGTTTATAACGTAAGAAAACGAGCAAGATTCGCAACATTAGCTTTAAGTATCGTAGACAATTTTTGCCTACTGCGGCAGTATAAATGAAGCAAAATCAAAATACGATTACCGCGATCGATTGATCATGAACGTACCAATTCGTGACCATTCATGACTTTTTCATTAGTCGCTGAAAAAACTAGCTGTTGTCGAGAGATTATTTTGACAGTTGGGACATGCGTTAGTGGCTGTTGCCGTCGGGTAGAGAGGTGGTTGTTGTGGAATAAGAGTAAATGTGTGGACT